GTTGTTCCACCTTTCGATAAACTTCATCTTACTGTCTTCATCTTACTCTGTTACTCTCTTATGCTTTTACTCTTTTACTCTTTTGTGTATCCAATATTTAAATTACCACATAGTTTATTTGAAGATGGAACAACCGGCCCTAAATGCAAATTAATTACATAATTTATCAAACTTGCAAAAGCTGTATGATTAAAATTTTGCGATACTCGAGTCCGAAAAATTTCAACATTCAAGAACTTCAGTAGAATGCACATACCTATGTTATCTTATTACATCGTGCAAGGTATTCTGAAGAGATAGCACCTGATATAGCACAGCTCTTAATATAAAAAATATAAATAAATTGTAATCAAAATACCCGGATCAAATCTAAACCACGCGTAATAAAAACCATGCACAGTTCTGTGAGAACAAGACGAACTCTGTGAATTATATTTTATTCGGAATGAATCATATAATTCTGAAAGGAAAAAAAGAATAGTTGTTAAAACTCGTGCTGTACTCGTGTGGCGAGTCTTGAGGTAACATTAGTCTTAATATGGAAAAAGTTTCATGCTACGTCTTTCATGCTTGTCTCTCGAGAGATCTTGTACTAAAATGCTTTCCGGCACACGGCGCAAAACTGACGCGAAGAATAACGCAACTCGAAACGATCGCGAACTCCTAATCTAAATGGGAAGTTAAAAGGTGGTCGTTCGCATTTACACGTATATGGCGCGGTCGGACGAGGATCCTCTTACTCCGCGTGGAAAGAACGCGAGAAAACGAAGACGAGGAAAGAGAGAAAGAGGGCCGAAGGGAAAACGAAAACCGTCGGAGGCGAGTAAGAGAGGAGACGTGTAATAAGAATACCAATCGCAATAAAGTAGGATTTGCATTTGATAAGCATCGTAAAAAAGCGCAGCGTAAGGTCATTATATATACATCCGCAAGCTACGATAGCTTACACCGCCCTGTTTCACGGAATCTACCTCGTTTGCCGTAGCTCAAGTCGAAACTCCGCACTCGCGACCCCGTCTACGACCAAATCGCGAAGTAGCTTAAGAAAAAATGACGCCAGGAATGGTCGCCGTATTGCTGACTACTGCTCTTTAGATTAGTTAAGTTTTCAGTGAAAATCCGCAACGAGAAGTAGATAGATAGGTAGATTGACAGATAGATAGATAGATAGATAGATAGATAGATAGAGAGAGAGAGAGAGACAGCCATAAATCGCCAAGTGTCAAACTTTTTCACTTTCGTGTCGTAACCGACAGATATAGCGACGTTAAAATGTAGTGTAATATTATGTGACGGCAATGAGTCATGGGTGACTAACTCTGGTAAAATTATTGAAGACACATGTATCTCTCTCGTGCACACAAGCTCGGCTGAGACGTCGTTTCTCAAAGAGTCAAGCTTACTCGAATATCTAAATGACGAAGGATACGCGGATTAAGATGTCGCTGGTTACAGCGGTTCTGTCAGAAAACTGGAAAACAGACACAATGCAGTCACAAAACGATTCATTCACGCGATCGTAGCCCAGACAGACAGCTGGACACCCCGCAGGGATGGAACAGGAAACCATTGTCGCTCACGATTCCGAAACGTGTGGGGCGAGCGTGTGCATTTTTTTTTTTTAAGTTTCAAGCGGAACGCATATGCACGACGCATCGAGCCGCGTCGCGTGCAAATGTTGCTTTTTGAGCGACGCCGACGCGTAGCGAAAAGCAATTATTGCGCACGCGACCACGCATAGAAACGCTGCTAATATACAGCCTTGCCTGCGGCGGATATAATATTGACCGTTCATTCTTTGTAGTTTAAATATATGATTGTTATCAATGTATAATAACACGTTTAATATCCGTATTTTATTAGTATTTATTATGATTAAAGCTGGAATCAAGGTTAGATATAATATAACAGCGATAATAAAATAATTAAGACATATAACGGTGTATGTAAAGAGTTACTGCACGCATACGTTATCAAGATGATTAACTTCACCCTTGCTAACGAACTTCCTTTAAACGTTCCTTTAAACGTTCATCTGGTATATCTTGTAGCATCTCATCTACAAGCCGGAAGTTCTTCAGGGTCCTAATAAAATCAACCGGAAACCTATTCATCTCCTTCATTCACGACACTCGACCTATTACGAAAATGTCGAAAATAAGCGGGAGATAAAAGGAAGGGACAGTTGTTTCACGGTGGAGACCGGTAAGGCTCGAGACACTCCTTTTCGCTAATAGCATGCACGCGACCATCCGGACCACACGTGTGTAATAATGGGTAGTGCGTGGGTGTGTGTTGGTGCCAGAGTCGAACAGATCCAAGCGGAGTCGAGCCAAGCCGGTCGACCAAGCGTAGCCCAGGGGTCTGGTTCCCAAGTTTCTACCGCTCCATCTGCTCCTTGTTACTCGCGGTTATTAATTAGCCTGGGCCGGTGAAAGAGAGAGAGAGAGAGAGAAAGAGAGAGAGTGCTCGAATTGCATCCACTGTCGAAATTATGCGACTGCGCTCGAACATCGGTAGTAACTCGACAATCGTTTGAAATGTCGGAGCTGATTGGTCGATCTCGATGAAGATGCATGCTCACAAATCTTTTACCGCGTGCGCTCCTTCCCTCGGGGCCTCGCAGAAGCCGATGTACCAAACGCCTCTCGCGTGAGCTCGCAAGGGCGCAATTAACTCTCAGAACGGAAAGTACATCGGTGCCTCGAGTATCGTAAACGTTTCTCTCGCGTGTCCCGCCTCCGGCTTGTCCACCCGACACGAGATAAAACGTGTCCGCGTTGTCGAGCATCGTCGGACGAGGCTCGGGTGCGATAATTACTAGTTGTATTCCTCCTCGAGTGCGAGTCCAAGAGCATTCGCCTGCGGAGATTTTAATTGGAGGATACTACGTTCCTTCATGATGTTTAACTGCTCTTCTGCTAACTGAAAAATTTCTTCAAGAAGCATCGGAGTAATTTTCCAACTACGAGATGTATTCGTCCCCTGACATTATAATGATATTATATGTATAACGTTAAACCTAAATTATTGGCGACAAATTATTTGTCTGATTACATGTAGTAGACTCTAAATTTGCTACATTCTGTCGTTGGCATTTTTTCTTTTTTTTTTTTAAGTGAATTACAATAAATTTATCAATTATTAGCGCAAATGATGTTAAGAGGAACGCGATGACAGTACATAGGATTATATATCTTTCTCAGGCACGAATCAAATAATGCGATCATCGAGCACTCAAGTTCAAATCGAAATAGTCCCCGCATCATCGCGTAGACGCATCAGGAGAGTTTTGCACGGTTGCACCGACACAGCATCGTATCTGCCCCGCATTCTCTCCAAATCTCCCGACGCTAGTGTAAGCGGCCTCGAGCGGCGGGCTTGCCCGCAGAAATGTAAATACCAACCGGCCAATCAGTCTGATTGGTCCCATTCGCTCGAATGCCCGTCATTCACCGACGCTATATACCGTTGCCGTAAGGTACGGCGGCGTTCCTGAATCGTGGCATTGTTCGTACGGGCGTACATGCACTCCTATGTACACTCGTGCGTATGTACCGGCATATGTGTACATGCGGGACGCTTTGAAAAAGGTATCGCGAGCTTTTCGGGCTGTTCGGGCATCGCGAACCGTTCAATTACGAAAGTAAACGGCGAAATCGATAGCCTCGTAATGTGCTATGTTACTTTCGATGGATTATCTGATAAAAGTCGCAAGTTCTAAGTGCCTGTACGATTTAAGTGCCTGTAACTTTTAAGCTCAGTTCTTCATTATCTGTTTAACTTGTGGTTAAATTTAACCTAATGTTTCAACCAATGGTCCTCACCCATGACATCGTCATAAATGAGCTCATTAGATAAAACATCAAGTTAAACTTATGTATATAATCAAAAATTAATTATAAAAACCGACCCTTAAGAGCATTCTACAATGTATTGCATCCCATCGGCTAATCACAATACGCACTTTGCAATAATCAATTAGAAATATCAATTACTTGTCGCGAAGCATTACGACTGGCGGCGAGATGTTTATAATGTATTGTAGAACTTTAAAAACAGTGTCGATATCGTTATATTGTCATTGTGCAGATAATATATGATAAAAAAGCTGCTAATGAGTTAATTAATGTACCGAAATATTGTTATAAAATTGGGATACTAGTTGTTACTAGTATATAATTGCAAAATTAATATTTATGTCGTATTTTATCTTAGCCATTACGAGATTGCCTGTTTCAAGGTTGGACATTTAGACAGCGACATTAATCTTATTAATGTAGGTATTGCGCAATTACGAGCTCATGATTCATGCAGCCATGCACATGCATCTGATGACTATTCGGCTACTCGAAAGCACGTCGACACGACGCGATGCAACACGACGCGACGATTCCACGTCCTGATCCGTCGCGACATGAATTGTTGCGTGCCGACAACCCATTGTTATGGCAATGAAAGAGAAAGCGTTTCTGCTTTTATCCTCCAATTTTGAAAGGCATTGCAAATTGGCGTGCTAATCCTAATGCGCGATTCACTGGGTAATTTCCCAGAAATGTAATTCGAGAAATTTGTGTTATAAAGCTGATAGAAAATTTTGGCCAGGACCCTCGCTACCTCCATATAATTTGTTCTTTGGCGTGGATGCTTTCGTGACTTAGGGTAACGCGTACATCACGATTTCGCGACCACGCAATATCGTATGATCAGAATTAAATGCAGTCATTACGATAATTACACGTCTGCTTACTTTCCACGAACTTTGTTACCCTAAGTGATCTTTGATTAGGTTTGCGATTTAAAAGCAATTGCATTGTCACCGTGGACAAGACAATTCTTATGGAATGGAGAAATATCACTTGTAGATACATTTCTTGAAGAAAGGTTTCATTAAACGCTTTTAGAAATAAGTTCATAGATAAAGACAATATCTATCGTCGCAGACTGGATAACACTCTCAGTCAAAGTTGTTTACACGACGGTCAAAACTCGCTTGAGACATGAGTGAGAAGAAAGAAACTAAGAGTCCTACTCGAGAAGATGAAGCGCAATGTCCTTTGGCTCTCTGTACGTTTGTTTGTCCTCCTCTTCTTCTTTTTGACTCTATTTATCGTCGCGATCTTTTCTTCTCCTCACTCGCCATAGAAAAGAAGAATAGTCGCGGGGAAAGGGTCAGAAGCGGAGCTAACAGACACAGACAACACTGGTTACAGACAGCGCGCTTCTAATCTGGTTTAACTTGTTTACCAGTTCTCGATAAAGGAGCAATGCAATCCCCACGCGGGCGTGCGAATTTCGTGTCTGCCTCCTTACACCGACAGTCTGAAATCTGACGTGAAATTTATTACGGCGGTAAATATAGAGGCGGTGGATGAACGGATTCCGGTCGCGGGGGTATAAAGGAAGGAAGACGGAGGGCAGTTAAGAGGCGGGAGGAAAGGGAGTTCTGACGTTAAACCACAGCACGCCCTGTACTTGTAGCACAACCGATGTTCACTGTGAGACTTTTCGAAGGTTCTTTGAAAGTCTTCGTCAGTCGAGACACAGCTGGTCTTTCTGTGACTGCCGTTCGAGGTCGCATAAACCTTGACAACGACAACGACGACGACGACGACGACGATGAAGAAGATGACGACGACGTCGACGGTGACGATGACGAAGAAGAAGAAACAGAAAAGAAAGGCGAAGAAGACGACAGTGTCAATGTCGGTGTCGCAGGTTCCGTTTTAACGAGACTGCTCGAGGGGATTCATTGAGCACCGGCTGCTTCTTCGATGCGCCACGTGACTCCTCCTTTTATTCTTCCTCTCCCTTTTTTATAGCTGTTCCCGACTTTTATTATTCGCCTCTTACTCCCTTCTTTCATTCCATTCGCCGTTGCGCCCTTACCATCGACCTTCATTTTCTTCTTCTCCGAATTCTCGGCATTATTCAGCGGGTGCACGTCCCTCATCGAAGATGCATGCACGTACTGACTACCTACTATAGTTACGATGACGACGACGATGACGAGGACAACGACGACATCGACGACATCGTCGCCACTGTGCACCTCGTCGAAATCCGCAATAAAAATGTCAATATCGAAGTCTGTTGGTTGCATAAAGGAACCTCGACTACATATTGTGTCGTTTGATAGGATATTACGATATATTTCGCTTATTTCTTATTTATACATTCTGCAATAATATCATTTTCAAAAAATTAAAAGGGTAGGGTTGATGGAGAATCAGAGTGCAGTAAGTAGAGCGTTAATGTAAATGTTTTTTATTTAAATCTTTTTAAATGAAATATATAGACTGAGAATTATTTAAATAAAAGAGAAGAATGTCATTTTCGGTGGGTCTTGATGCTTAGTAATATTCATATAGTATATGAATATACAAATACAATTATCAGCTCTATAAACTGCGCGCTGATTCTGTTTGTCAGATTTAAAACTCAATTACAATCTGAAGTAACATGATTCTTTAATTTAATTTGCTTGAACGTTTTAACTCCACTTTGTGAATCATGTTCAACAACAATTAATTAATAATCATTAAAAGTACGTAGTATCATCAGATTTTACAGAATATTGATAAATCTCTTAGACACTTGTTTATCGTTTCGTTGATCAATATATCAATGAAACATCGCATCGAGAACATAACTGGGTTTGAGGATACTTATTCCTAGATAAGATTTTTTAATTGTTCCTGAAAATGTGACTTGAAACGGGGTCGAAACGTTCAATCAAATAAATAAATTAAATAAAGGACGTTTACATTTGTAATTAGCGCTCCACTTACTATACTCTGACTCTTTATTAACTTCTACGTAATAATTTAATTTTTTGACAATTTCGAGAATCTTTTAGAATCTTTAAATATTATTTTATTAGTTAAACAAATTGAATTAAACATCATCTTATTATATATGTTTGATTTTCAGCATCGAATATATCAGTAACTAATTCTTTATAATTGAAAAATAATATGTGAATATACATATATAATTAATCTATATAAAATCTATATAAATCTATAACATAAGTTAACTTATACAATATCATCAGTGAAACCACAGAATGAAATTTTCTTTTTGCTGCACGTTTCTGCGTGGTTTTGATTTCATAGAATAATATAATTTAACAAAGTGTTAATCGACTGATGCGAATTAATGAAATTACTGACATATGGCGATAATAACAGCGAATATGAATGGAATCATTGTTGAAACAAAATTTTCATTTCCTGCTAAAATGCATGGACGGGATTATGCATATGCGATACCATCTCGTTAAAAGCACGAAACGGTCGCGAAAAGCTATCGTTATAAAGTGCTCGTTGTAACGGACATACGCTTGTCCAATCGAAATTTTGATTACGCTCACGTTACTGATTCGCGTCGCATTATAAGCTTTAATCACTTTAATTACTTATTGCATGTAATTAAGCACGGTTTATTGCACTCATGCTGACGAGAGCGGTCGATGAAACCCGCTCGTTGACGCGTGACAGCGCATTTGCGTCCGTCAGCGGTACGTGTAATGAAACTTGCGAGTCGCAATTCTATCAAATCAAAGCCAGACTAATCGTCAACATTATTTCGGTGTACGAAACCGGCGGTTTCATTACGCGTCGCTTATTGCCGTGTTTCAAATACCAGTATAAATATTTATTAAATGATTTGCGAGGTTTCACATTGTTACCGATCGCTTTATGCGATCTGCGGTTTACATTGAAGTGGTACGGTGCTATTTCATTTGTGCGTTTTTCGTACAACTAATATGTGCAGGATAGAGAGGATCTCTGTCACTCTATTCTATAGCCAATCAACAGGCTTGAAATTTTGTCGTTTGTGGCGAAAACGTACAAATGAAATAGTGGCCGTACAATGTAATCACGTCACTATTTCTACGCGTTATAACCTCGGGCATCTATATTAGGCAAAATGTTTGCAAGATACCGTACTTTATAAACCCACGTGCAATTTTACCGGACATGTTTGCGCGCGGTAATGAACGGCTTCAACCAAAAAGTTATATATGCGTTAACCCATTCCTCACCGCTCTCTGACCGTTCTTTATGTGTTGGTCCTAACGAGCTCCACCGTTTTCTCATTAAAATGTCGGCTGACGTCTTATTATGTGTCGCATTATTATCACTGAGACATGCAAACTGCGCCCATATCTCTGTACCGAGCAATCGTAAAAAATCATCGTTATGTTAATAACATGTCTGTTCAACTCGCGTCTCTCGAAAAATTATAGCAGTTACAAGAAATTTTAAGTATTGTAGGCGGATGAAATTCACTGTCATAAATTTAGATAATTTTCTCGAAGATTCTTACATTGAAATTATTTTTTGATCAAAGTGTAAAATTACTGGTGATTTTCAAATATTAAGTATTCGTTGTTCTTATGTTACAGGTGAGTCAGCTAGAGACGATCACGAAATCAAAAACTGTTCAAACAGTAAGTCCAATTAAATGTAATTACTCGACATGACGAAGCGAGCAGTTAGTCGTACATTTCATGTATACACATCATAAGAATTAAAATAGAAACGATAGAGGCCGAATTCAGTGCGTGCGGTGGAATGAGTCCGAAACACGAACATAGGCGCGGTAACGTTTCGTATAAAACACACCCCGTATATCTCTTCCTTTGTATATTTTTTTCTGGCATGCGCAATGCTGGCGTGTTTGATTGTCGACGAAAGACGCTGGCGATGACTGTTCCAGGCCTGGCGCGTTCGGACTCCCGGGAGGGATCCCTCCTCACGGAGTAAACTGTTTTCTTAGGTACTCGGGACTCTTCAAAAATTCCTAAATATTTACTCGAATGGAGGACTCCCAGACGGACGACACTTAAACGGTATTCTCCGAGAAGGGTACACGAAGACGGGCTTAAGCCCCCTGAAGAACGGATTAGAGACTCTTCCGCGCATTTCTTTCTCGTTTTCTCGTTTTCCTCTCTCCTCCTCATTTTTCCTTCAAATTTTTCTTCTCGCGTTTCTATCCATCTGACTAAAATCCGTACAGAATTCGCGCTGAGGGAAATCATTCTTTGAATTGTAAGTCGAGCGTGATTTTTCTGAGTGTATACTTATCATATAAGGTGATAAAACGTGCAGAGATTTGTCATTGGAAAATAGAGATCTTCCGTGGGCGCTGCATTCATTTTATTCATTGAAATACGATGAATTATATATGAATTGATTCCATTATATGGAACTATCTCTGTAATGGAAAAAGCGACAACTTGATTTTCAAGTTAAAAACGGCTTGCATTATATTTTGTTACAAGCCCTTAAACTTTATTCAGATTTATCATTATTTTTTCTTCGTGAAACTTTATTGAAAACGTGGGTTGTTTTTTAAAAGCAAAGTTTTTCTTTAATCACAAGAATTTATCCATAATTTAGCACGAAATCGGTAACTCGACCTAACAATCCACTTCTGCATAAATAATGTCACATACTTCAACCACTTTTTACAAGTCTCGAAGTACTCCTTCATTACTTTTTTATCACTCACATTCATAAAAACATCGCGACGTTCCTTGGTATGTTCATAAAACTATACGATAACTAGCAATTGCTAGTTATCTTATCGCCTGCCATAAATATTTAATTCGACCGACTTAACTGTTGTCTCCGCAACGTGAGAACTTTCCGAGTAGTCCGAGAAGTACGAAACTGAGCAATCGAATGAATATCGTAAATCGACCATCTCGACAAACGTTTCCGTACATGTATGGCGAAAGATTTCACGGCCGAGGGAGATCGTCTTCTAGGCAGACGGTGAAAGACCGGCCCAACACCGGGACTCGATTCTCTGCAGTTACTCTTGACTTTTTTTGACTGGTTTCAGGCGTTGCCTCGATGCAAAAGCATTCCCTTGTTCGAAGTTCCCGTGTCCCCACCCACCGATTCTCGTCGTAGTCGCGCTTTCCGTCTGAGAGCTTCGAAAACTTTCGGGTCTGAATACCAGGCTGCATTAAACATGAATAAACGATTTATGAGAACAGAACGGCTGTAACGGGTTGGTGAAGGGTTGATGGCACAGCAAAGCAATGGGCTAAAACGAGGCCGACGATATCATTGACGAGATTCCTCGGAACATACGTACGCGGGATCGCGATCCGCCTCGTTATTCTCTGATAATTAATAATCGCCTCCAACGACCATATATACCAGCGAGCTCTGAGCTTCCTATCTGCTTTGTCATCGCTCCGGATAATAATTCTTTGACGATTGGCGGGTGTGGACCAGACATTCGCCTCGTGGTGCAAGCTGATTAACTCTCTCGGCCATTTCGCTTCTCGGAACCTTTGATTTTCATTCTGCCCGATCGATTATGCCGGTGAAGTAAAACGAACAGGGGGGTGTTAAAGAGCAGCCTCGAAGCTACAAAGTGAAGATATGCAAGTGTCTCATACACAAAGCGATATGGAAGAAGTTTCTATTCCAAAAATAGTCTGCTAAGAAGGAAAAACAGATTATATTTTATCGCGTTCTAATACATTTTTCTCGCTGTTCAAAGTGCAGAAGGATATACTGCAAAAAAAAAATACATTAAACTGATGGTGTGCGCGGGGAACGGGAAATAAAAGGATTCAATTGAGCGGCCGCGAACGCAGCCTGCTTCTTGCGAAACGGGTTTCCGACGGAAACTTCAGGGCTTCAAAGCGATCTCATTTCATGCGCTCGACTCCGCCGCGGATTGCCGCAAGCTAATTTGCGAGCGTCAGCTGCGTATTTCTGCAACTATTCTGAGTTCCTCGCGGCGTTAACCCGCAGACGACGAGACGTTAAAAACGGCCGATACCAAACGCGATATCGTTTTTTCTCTTGGAAACGTGGGTACCCAGTTACTTTTCGTCTACGGAATAATTAATCCGCGCGCTCATAAAACTCGCCGTCAGGAACAACAGAACCGGGCGGAGCAGTCGCCTTCTTTTACGATTCTCTGAAAAAGGTGTCTTCACTGGCACGTATCTTTGTCGGAGCTGTGCATTGCTATAGGAGTCGCATAATCTAATCAGCACATTAACAGGGCGATAACGTCCGCTCGTAAATCCATGACTCGACTAACGATCTTTCCACGTGAACCAAACGCGTACATTTGACACATCCAACGTCGTCCGACGCGATGTTTTGCTCGTATAGGTGTGAAACGACGCGAATTGTGACCGGCCATTAATTTCACCCCGCGTGTGCTGTAAGATTTCCGAATAAATACTCCAAGTTCGTAGATTCGTGTCGTAAAATCGACAACCGTGCACGGAGTGCATAATCTAAGAAGGTATTCAATTGCAATAACTCTCCGCGCATTGTACTTCGTCTCAAATGAAAAAATTGCAGATCAAATAACAGTCGAAAATATCATGCACACATAACTAATTAAATAAAAAAAAAATTAAATTTTAAACAATTTATAACAAATGTATATATATCTATTTTAATAATAATAATAACAATTTTATTGACATGCTGTACAAAAAAAGAACAATAGTGAAATAAGACGCAATAAGTGAACAGGCACAGTCAAAAGCTGAGATATGATATTAATAGTGCTGCCTAAAAACCTAAAACCTGAACAATCATTAGATAAACGAAAATTAGAAACGCAATAGATAACAGTGATAAAAATTAAAAAATACATGTTACGGGAAATGCAGATAAAAAATGAACTTTACACGGCACAGAAACATATGGTAAGATATAAAATGGAAGTGCTACAGAGAGAGCAATACATATAATAATAATATAATAAAGCAGTAACCCCCTAATAAGTTTGAGAATAATTAAACATTAAACGCGATGTGCTGAGAGACAGCAGACTTTAAATGCAGAGAAGAAAATAGAGGAACGAACATCGACAGATAAAGATTATGAGTATAAAAGGGATAATTTAATATCAATTATTGCATTAATTATACACGATCGCTTTGTAACACGATAATCGTAATTTCAAATAATTAAATTAAATTTGACGCTAATATTTTCATAACTCTAAGTTCAATTTGAGCATTACTCGTAGAAAATAAAAAATTTTACGGTTTTCCGGGTAACATCTTTTATCGAGTATTTAAGAGTAATTTCACATGCCAATATATTCTGTGATGGTTACAGCTATCACTTGGCTATCGAACTCGTGATATCGTTTGAGGCTCTGTTATGTTATCAACCATGTAGATATCGCTCTCTACAATCTTTGTCAAATGAAGCGCTATCGAATACCGATACTTTCGACTTCGCTTCGACTAGGACGAACCAAGTCTGAACTGGATCATTAACATCCTTTCGTCCAATCGCGTCATCGTTGACGCGCCATTACACGAGAAGCTAGCGCTGAAATCTGCATATTAAAGTATACAGCAAAAGCACCTTCAAGAATATCAGTACGATTACAATTCGCCCGTTACATTAGCACGAAGACAAAAAAAGGAAAGGATATATCTCTGATTCGACAGAGGAACAATGAAAGGTAAATGTCCTGTAAACAGAACAAAGGAAGAGACAAAATTAAAATAAAGATTCGATCCGTTTCTCTCTCGATTGTTAACCCAGACGGGCAGACGGGCTGACATGAAAATTTCAGTCGATCTTGGCGGGGGTGATTCTCGCCTGTTACCATGGGGAGTTGAAATATTTAACGATTCGATTGTTCATTCGTTCGGTGCGTGTCAAACAAATATAAAGCGGCGCTTTTTTCCAATATCGCGAAAAAAAGAAACGAAATGGAATTGATAGCCGCGTGCCTCGCAAAGCAATTGTAAATTTGTCGTATCGGACGTATCATAATGTACATACATAACAACACACCGTGAAATCCGCTAGATAGAAAGGTAGAAAGTGTAAGTGCTCTTGAGGATATCGACGTTCGCTCTACCTCGCTGGTTATCGCTCAGCGTGAGGGATCGAGCCTCTCATTCCTTTCGAATCTCTTTCCTTCATAAAGAAAAAACTGAAGAGAGTTTTTGACGTGGGTGAAGGAAGAGAAACGACACGGAGGCCTCCCTGCTATTTGTGAAGCGTAGCAATGGCGGGAGGAGATGGAGAATGGCGTGGCGGGAACTCGATGCCACACGACGGTGGCAGTGCATTTCACTTGTTCGAGGCATAAACTGGGACGGTAGACGTGCCGGTATGAAAATTTCAATCGGCTGGAGTGAAGTGTCGGCGTAGCGTGCGAGAGTCGAGGAGGCGGCGTCGGTGAAGGTGGAAGGTGGATGGTAGTGGCGGAGAGAGCTCAGGTGGAGGCACAGGTGGAGACGGCGAGGAGGAGGGAGATGGAACCCGACGCGAGGGAGGATGAGGAGGGTAAAGTGGCTCTGGACCGTATGGGTATATCGTTGTCTCTCTCCCAGTTTCTCGCTGCTTGATTCGCCGTACGGCAGTCCTTCTCCATCTTCTTCCCACTTGCTGGCGTACGAAGCCCTAGCCCGCGGCGAACTGCATAATTCATGGCCTTACTACACACCGACCGCCGCCACCCCGGAGGACTCTCTTCCAGAGGGCCGCCGCCGCCGCCCTAACCCTCCTTGCACCACCACCTTCTACGCTTCAACCTCCTTGCCAGGGTCAGCCTTAGTCGCGTGCATTATACGTCACCATGTATGCGCGTACTTGCTAACCCTATGCATACAGAAGAACTTACGAATATACGTACGCGTACACATGCATATATGCACAGTGTGGATAAAGTTGGCCCTACGACGAGGTATATATACGCGCGTTCCTAACCTCGTACATCACGCGCAGAATGTAGGCGAATATTTCGGCTGAGTTATGAACGGCACCCCCCGTTGAGGTAGCGCGGACTTAACGAGAGAAACGCCATGGGCGCTTTGACCAGTCTCGATCGTGTCGGGATGCCTTTCTTGACAGAGAACAAGATTCGAAGATTGGAATAATGGATTTTTACGAGACCACTGTCAGTTTGAACAAGTTTACGCACACCATTGCTCCTTTGTAGGCTTTTGTAGCCTCAGAGACTGCTCTTTTTCTTCCACGTTGCATCTTTGAAAGTTATGCTGCTGCACGCAACAAGCACCGAGATTTCCTGCGGCAATAATACATTAAATCGGAACCGTTGATGTAATTATGGAGTTTTTTTAATTATAGAATTTTTTCACGAATGTGCACGCGCCAAAGATAAAGATAAAAACGTTAATCGTTATTCTAATATTTAGAATTTGAAAATGTCCCTTTCTAATTCATGTTCGGCTTGTATAGAATGTGTACCACTTGATACCGGTTGGGATTGTAGCGGAATGAAATACTAGGGTATAAATTTCAAACGCTAATGCCACGTGAAATATATATCTCAGTGATGCGCGGATCCTCTACATTTAGATAGAATGATATATATTAAAAGGAACGTTTGTGAATAACAACCCCGTTATTTTTGAAGTTACGTAAAATGTACCAAATAAATATTTGTGTTTTTAAGAAAACTATATATTTTTCTGCAGATAATAATGGAAATAATCTTAACATCAATAATTTTAAGATGACATTTTTACATCTTTTCTTTTTATATCTTTTTGAACTAATTCCTTATTAAATGCTTGTAGCATTACATGTTTTGACAAAATGAGAAGTTTTTTAATTTTAGATGGATTTCTTTCTTTTTAATCTCGAATTAAGACTCGTACAGCTTCGGCCAAAAGTACTAGATATAGGTTTTTTTATTTATAGGTTTTTCGTTTATTTGAAATTCTTTCACCTGTATCGTTTTCTATTAATTACCGGCATTATATATAAAATTAAAGATTTTTTCTTGAAACAAAAGATAAATTCACAACAAATATTATACAAAAATTATTAGAGATAGGAGCATAAAGTGTCTAAAACTTTGATACCAAGGCTATGTATACCGCATGTCTTTTTTTGATGATATTTTAATTAATAATGATTAGTACAGATTGGACAATTCTTGAACGTAACGAACTGAATAGATAACGCGGTGATGTCGTCGTTAAAGTCCATTGCATTAGGACGCCGAAGGCATCCTCGCGCTCAGGGTGCGATTCGTCCAGTTTGAACGTGTACACCAATCGGAAGACAAAGTGTACACCCGAAGCTACAAGACTGCACGAAATTAATACAGAACCGGCTTTAATCTACGGACGCATTGCGGTTCGAAGCTCAGGAAAGGTGGAACGAGATGCAGATATCCCGAGGCAGGCACGGCCAGCAGCCACAAGTCGTTTTCTCGTCCTACCGGAGAAGCGTACCGGTTCTTGTGCTGAATAAATGGAAGATACTCTGCCATCTTGGGTTCCCATCGCTCGCAAAGATAAACATCAGTAGCAGCAACAGCAGCCACAGCACCAACAGCGCACAGTAGCCAGAGGGACTCTCGTAATTAGTCGGACTTGCATGTCTTTTCTTTTTCTCGCGTTAGAAACGCTTCGAGGACTGCAATGCTTAATGGTGTCTATTTATGAACGAATGATCGTGCGCAAGTCGATCAAGACGCTCTTTGAAGACCACCGGATGACCGAACGATTTCATAGAAATTGCCGTACGAATTCCGGACAGAAATACGCGAACGGAAGGAGATACGGATCACCACTAACTTCTGCGCTCCGAGCAGAAAATATTGGAGTGTCAAAGACCCGAGACTTATTACTGTAACTTTGTGAATTAATAAGATTCAGGTAACAAGTTGCGTATCGGTGGCAGGGCTTAAAGTTCATCAAAAGATGGATTCTTTGATAAATTTAAAAAGTAGCTAACTCCCTCAAGTAATAAAGTTGTGTTAAAAGCTTCATAAAAAATATGCTGTAGATAATAGCACGGAAACCAATTTAATACAAAGCTGCTATTCAACTTAGATTTTCAATAAAAAAGTCTAATAAAATATGTACATGATACCAATTACGCGGAATCATAAAAAATTTAAGAAAATAATTAACTAAACAAATTGTATTTGCTGTTTGCATGTTGAAAAACAAAAATATTCAGATATATCATTATAATGTAGTAGAACGGTAATTCTTCAAAATTTGTCACCGTTTTAAATATTTCTTCACCTTCAGTTATTTTATTAAAATGATGGTATAAAATAAACACCGCTTCGTAATTTCTTTCGCGTCGACGACTGCGTCCTTAGGAGAGGGTCTACAAAAATAAGTCGCGGCGCGCCCCGGCAATTACGCGAGGACGACTTCGCCGAGTTTTAATTTGCGCGAGCTCTCGAGACCGTCGTCGCATATTCGTGTACGCGGTACTTTCCACGAATTCGCGCGCAAATTTATACGCCCAAACGATGGAAACAGCGCTCAAAAGAGCACCATGCTTGCCTCTTCTACACCCACCGTAAATCTCGTCAGCTAAGAATTGCAAGTTTCCTCGGGAAAGACGGGAAAGGCACTTTGAACACAAATTTCTCGCTTAGCCATAGGAATTTCTGTAAAAGGCAATTTCATCGCCCGGAAATCCGTGAACGCAAGACATACATTTTTTTTTAATCTATTAAATATTTCTTGAAATTACATTTATAATTACAATAAATAAGCTTATAACCGTAAATATTGCTTATAAACAAAACACAATTTTCATTACATTTTATAAACCGATACATACATATCGATGTTAAATGAAAGAATATCTTTTTCATTTTTATGAATGTTTTTAAACAAATTTTAACGAATTAAGTATATATCTTTCAAAAACTTTATATTTATCTCCTGTCATCTCTCAAAAAGAAATCTTTGTACACGTGTATGCAGAATTTTTTACTTTCTAGTTTTCCAAACTTTTTTTTCTCTACATCGTCGAAAACTTTTCGACGAGAAAATGACGCGTTTTCCACCAAGGCTAAAGCCGTTCGCGAGCGGTGAGATCGAGCTTGGATGTGAATTTTTCGCCCGAACTCCAGAGTTCGTCGACGAATGGCGTTTAACGATCCGGAAACGTTGTAAGTGTGGAGATTAAAGTGTATTCGTATACGTAGTTGCAAACCTGTGCAGCAGCGCACTTTCCTTCTCCTATTCTCCCATTCACACCACCTTCGAAATGACACGTTGGGAACGGAGCCAAGCCGACTCTAAGAGAGAGAGAAGAAGAGAGAAGAGAGAACGTGCTAGAGGACTTCCAAATGGGAATACTTTTTCTGGCTTTTAATTTAAGTTTGAATATCAAGAAAAATAATTATCTAGCCGAATAACACGAAACGTGCAAACAACATGCTTGTTAAATATTGGTTTAAAAATGTATACATTTTTATTTCATTTAAATAAATACGACCTACAATTGTTTATAAACAAGTAAAGACGTAACGATCTAATAAAAATGCATGATAGTTAATTTTACAATAATTGGTCTTTATAAATCGTGGTACAACTTAATTATAACTTAATTGTATAATATGTAAATCTTAAAAAATTGTTTTTAATGTAAATTGACGATTAATTTTTCACAAAAGATAAATTTACTTCTAAGTCTTAAGAATTATATCTGTCGATATTTGTTTTTTCTTAACAAAGCTTAAGAAATTGCATTGTTTATTTAACAAGAATATATAACATAATAATGCAAGACTTTTATTATAAATCTTTATAATAAGATTTATAAACAGAATTTGATAGCTCAAAGAAATAATCTAATAAAAATACATAAAAAGAATACAATATATTTAAATCAAAAATAATGTGAGTGGGAAATACGCAGGTTTTTATACTAAAATCATAAATCTAACGTTGCAAATGTCAGATTAATTTTCAAGATTTATCTACTTAATCGTATTCTTCCTCTTCTCTCTCTCTCTCTCTCTCTCTTTCAAAATTGGTTTCAGTCAAGCTTTTTAATGGAATTATTATATAAATATGGGCTACTATAGAATGCTGAGATTTAAAAAATCCGCTGTTACAAGCTTATGCTTTGTACGTATATCGAACGTAATCGAAGCGGCATGATTGATTCGCTGATTCGCTGAACAAATTCATGTGTATTCACTCGTAAAATACGCTCGTGAGCCTGTACAGGCGGATGTAGCTTTATCTGGGCCCCATCATTCACGTTAATTCCACTTAAGCACCGATGCACCTGGCTCGCGAGCTCAACACGACGAGCGCACGATACACTCGGCAAAAATGAAGAGACGAATGCCATGCAAATCGAGCATTCGAAGTGCGCACAAGGGCACCTTATGCAGCGGCACACAGTGGAACCGAGTGGCCGAACGAGGTTGCGTGGCAGCTCGAGCGAATGAAAGATGGCAGTGTGCGTATTGTAGAAAGCTGGAACAAACGGGGCACTAAATTCGTATGATTTCTTCGTTCCGGACGCGAAGGCTCGCGTGGTTGCGCTGGCGCCGATGCCGATGTTTGCGTTGGAATAAATAATCGACCAAAAACAGTTGAAAGAGGATTTAATCCGAGAAAGAGGGCACAAAAAAATCTACCGTCTGCACGACGCGAAACGCTGCTACGTTCTTCCTCTTCGGAATGACGATTATCCCTTCCAAAAAAAAAAGAAAAAAATTAACGGACTGAGATGAGTGGCAGCGTTATTAATAAATGCATAACACTTTTTGCCTCGAGCAAAAGCGCATATCAGTTCAGAAATATGGACATAATCAAATCTCCGTAATTAGGAGGAAGTGATTAACTCTTTCTATTTGAAACATGCCTGCGAGGTATTAAGAGTAAAGTCGTGCGAAATGCAGATCGATAAATGCAATTAAACTCACGCGAGTGCACGAGCGACTTCTTATTTCTCATATAATTTTTTATCTCTAATATATTACACTTGACATACGTAATATAAGGAAAGACTTTCGAAACGTTGTACGAGGTGACGCAGTCGCTGCAGGAAACGTATCTCGCGACGGCGAGAGGCATGAATGCCACCTTAGATCGCGCGTGTACTTACGACGAGATTATCCACAGACCTAATGATTAATTGTATGTCACGATTGATCTAATCATCTAAGAAACGAATGCCGTGTCTCGAACACAATCAGCCGACCGAGCGGTTAAAGGTTGGCTGCATTCTGTGACCTTAATTACTATGTCGACTAATCGATCGCGTGCATTGTGATCGTATGTACTATGCTTGACACGGGTACCAGCATATACGCAACCGCTTCACCGCTTGAATAGCGTCTTAATTACCGGCTGGATAATCCGATTCAGCCACTTGTGTATGTATCGATAGTCTCCGCATCAGTTGAGTATTGAGTCGGGAAAGATTACAAAATTCAATCATTGAAGTGTTCTCCGGAAGTAACTTGAAAAGAGACAGCGTTTAAAAATATCCATTTTCTTTCAGTTCTAACGTAAAATTCATTGAGAAAGTTGAGGCTTTGTCTCAAGAAGGCTTTGTCTTAATACGAAGTTAGATCTATTTGAAATGATACACTTGTCATCAGTTACGAAGATATTGTTGGCCTGTAGTCGAAAATTCGAAGTAAGTTCCTGAAATCCACGAATCCATGATCTTAGAGATACAAAACGCCGGTCGTCACGTTTATCGCCACGGATATTTTCGTCGTGAAATAATGAGTCGCAGAAAGGGTTCTCTAAGCTCGGCAGATAAGCATCGGGGAACGGTAGACGGTAGTCGAGGAACCCCATAACCCCTCCCCCCCTGTTAATTAGCCAAAAAGTGAAATCTCTCGTATGGTCCCCTTCGCTTTTCTTTCCTGCGCTACGCGCCACAACGGCACCGTCGTGAATAAAGTACGGTCTCGCGTTCCCTCTCCCCCTCGAAACCCCCGGTATCGCCCGACTATCCGGTACGTACGAGCTCTCGCCCCCTCGCATACAAGAGAAGAACAGCCAAAGAGCCCCACGGCGTTCTCCGTAGTTCTTTCTCCGCCTCGCAGCATCCTCAGTGGGCCTCTCTCTTTCCGTCTTCTTCTTTCGCACCGAACGGCCGATCCTAATCTCGATAATGACGCGTAATGGCTGCTGGCGTGAATGTAGCTCTTTGTCCGTAGCTCCTGTACCGGTCGTATATCTGTCCGGTACGAGAACCGCGCCATTTCACCCCGGCGAAAAGCACAGGGAGGCCGAAACGGCCGTTTCCAGACTCTTTTTCTACGTCCACGTCGCGTCTCCCTGTCGGCCCTCTCACCCTTGTCCCCTTCCAACCCTCTCCTGCTCCAATCTCTATGCCTGGCAAGATGCCTTCTCGAGAATCGCGCTTAATCACTTTGTTCTACGTAATTCTAAGACTGTTTTGTACGTGTATGTGATTTTCTTTTGGAACTTTATTTTTGCAGAAGCGGTTATGAGAGTTCGATGACCACAGGCTCGCGGACCATCGACGCTACCATGGACTACCTGCAGACGTGCCTCATCTTTTACCTGCTGATCCTCTGCTTCTGCGGCGGACGTTCCATAGACATATGTGAGTAGACATTTCAATCCAATTGGATATAGCTTTAAGCTCTGAATCGCACTCATCTTTTACCTGCTGATCCTCTGCTTCTGCGGCGGACGTTCCATAGACATATGTGAGTAGACATTTCAATCCAATTGGATATAGCTTTAAGCTCTGAATCGCATTCTTATATATATATATATATATATATATACAATATATATATATACACACACACAATATATATATATATATATTTTCTTATTAATATTAACGATAGTTTAAATAATGACAATCAAGCCAACAATTATTAAATTAACACTTTCATTACTATGTGTATTAAAAAAAATACACAATTAATTTGTATAGGTAAATAATAAAACTATATTTCTTCATATACAATCACAAACACTGATCAGGTTTTGAAAGATGTGTACACTATAAGATCACATTATCTACTGAATTATTATTATTAAAATCTGAAATGTTTTGTTCATTTTTGTTTATTAGACTAAAATAAAATTTTCTTTAACAAAAGTGGGTTAGCTTATCTGAATTAAATTAATTTAAAAGAAGCAGTAATTAAAGTGTTAGTTCTAGAAATTACAAAGTTGCGGAATAACAATGTCTCATAAAATTAATTATAGAATTATAGAATAATTAACATTTTAAACATCAGATAATAAAATTAGATAATAAAATAGAAATATAGCATACTATGATATTTATTGATTAACAACACAGAATCGATTCCTGTTTTGCAAAATCAGAAGATCGTAGTAGGATCATGATTGAAACGTGTTTACATCCAAGATATAATTTTACCCTAAGATGCTTCTTCTTCCCGCAGTTTTACTCGATAAAAACAGAAAGGCATCCCGGTGCCTTCCCTCGTACAACGTTGCCCTTTGCCTTACATTAAACCTCGGGCTCGGTTTCTACTCGGCTTGGTTTCCATCCCATTGACTCCGACGGCCCAAGCCACCCTCGTGTCAGGTAAACAGGGCGAGAAACTTGCAAAGTATCCACCAAGAGTTCCGAAGTCAGCTCCGGGAAAGGCTTTTAGGTACTCGTTCGTGAAATCGAGCTCGAAACTTACGTATACGGGACGTATTTCGCACCCGAAGAATTTCTCGAGCAGGATCGAAAGATGGATCATGATGGTCTCGATTCGGTTGCACTGTAATGCGTACCATCCTTTTCCCTGGATGAATGAGTAGATTCGAGTTATACCGAGCGCAAAGTTTTCAAAATACCGTACTTTACATTACAGCATAAAGCTATGTAATTTTGTCATATGACTTTAACTTGCAAAATTAGATTCGTAGAGTCTATTATATAATGAATATTTAATATGAGTTATAAACAAGAGTTACAACGCATGAATCCTGACAACTTTATCAGTGATGGTACAATAAAGTTTATAAGTGTACAGTAATCGGCTTATACTTGTACGCTAAATATAGATATCCGTACAACAGGAACATACTAAATCAGGAAAGTCGATGTTAACTCTTCTAACTCTTGGAACCTATGCGGCATACTATTTGACCTCAAAGCCGATACTTAGGCTACCTTTGATCCTGCTTATACTTATACTTGAGCATGCCAGTGTAATCCGGGAAAACAACTATATAGCACAAACTTCGCTAATTAAATTCTACTGGTTATCAAAGCAGCTCAACAGAATACTTTGAAATAACAAACAGAATAGCAATGATTATAAAGTAATATTTTCTCGCAGAAAAAAGTATATCTTATTTATGAATACGTTTCCAAATGCAATTTAACAAAATAATTCAAATAGCAGTTTATCAATTAATTGTAACTGATAATAAAAGCATTGAACTATTTAAATAGATAGTCGGCAAAAGTACATATCAGTTTTAGTCAGGTTCTTTTTTATTCATATATAAAAGAAGCAGGACATGGCGCATTTCGAATTCAGTCGACCATACTTGGAATAGAACCGCGCTTCGAATACCGGTCACCGAAAGATCCATAGAGGCGTCCGAGCGTAGGTGGGATGGCGTGCTCTGCATAAGAGGAGCACTGAACGAGCGCCGAAATATAAATAGCTTCGTACGAAAGTTGGAAGGAGACCGAAGGGGAGACGATTGTGGACCCCCCGCGGTGACTGAACTTGTACATTGAACCGCGTCGGTAAATTCGCGGTTGTGTTAAGCGAGCCGGTCAGCTGTGGCCGATCGGGGAGAGCTGAAAGGGGTCTCCGAGCAGTTGAAGCGTGCATAAATTGCAATGTTAATGTTACCGGCGATACATAAACATGTTGCACGTTGGTCGGATTGCCTGCGCGTCCTGCACACCCTCTAGGTGCTTGCCTGCGTCCGTGCATACGAGGGTGAGTTCGATTTTGTCTATACGACGAGGATGGTTCGTGTGTACGTATAGATGCGTGCATAGACGAGAGCAACTCGTGCGTTCCATGTCGGTGTCGCGTAATTGCGGGGGTAAACGCGAAAGTGTACGTGCACGAGCGGACGAGAGTGTGCTGGAGAGTCGGAGTGATAGGATAGGCAATTGTACAGATGCGTCATCCGTGAGGGATGTATCTGACGTAGCGAGATTTAACGCGAGCGACACATGTGGTGAACGATCGCTTTTTTTTTTGCATTCCGTACGAGACTCCATTGTTAACAGCAACTGCGATGACGTAGTTAGTGCTGAAACAGAATGTACAGATACGCCGATGTGACTCAGCCTTTAAATAAATTACAAATGTACACGTGAATGCATTAATTTTAATAGTTGCAAATTAATACGTGTATATACGTAATGAAATGCATATAATGGTAACACGCTTATCTATGTATGTTTGTCGCATCGAGGACACATCGAAAACAGACGGTAGGAATGTATTCGGGGAGGAAAATCGTCACGCAACAGAGCCCTCCCATGTTATGATATTGTCATCCCTCTGTCACCCTCTCGGTCCTCAGCCCTCCTTTCCAATTACCTACGGATCCATTAGGCCCTAGCGTGATGGTGACGAAATTATTGCTGGAGTCTTCAGCGTATTAACATAACAATGCGGCAATTAACACGTTATTGCCCTTCGTCCACGCTCTGTCGCCAACCCATGCGACGATACGAAGTATAGGATATCTTGTTTATTAAAAAAAATTAAAAAATTATTTTTAAATTAAAATAATTTAAAAGTCTGCTTATATTTTAAATTTTTACAATAATAAAAAATTATAAAAAATAATAAAATATGTCGGAACTTGTACAGCACAAAGTTTGCAGCAACGTTGCAATGTTACTACAATAATGCTAAAACATTGTAATGTTGTAATATTGCTAGAATAATCTGTGCTGTATAGGGAAAAATTTTACATGTAAACTGAAATTCAATATACGTATCACATGGTGTTGTATATATTTTAAAAATGAATAGCATAGCATGCATTAAGCATCAACAATCTTGAAGTCGAGCCTAATCACGAATATCCTGTATTTACGAGAAGAATTATAATTGAGATGACCATGCAACTTGTATATGCGGATTAACTGATTATTTGTACAGTCACCTATATACAAACGCACAAATATACTCTCATAATCGTATACCCTTCGCAGATACAGTTATCAAAACATACCCCGGTTATCATTACAACTTGTCACTCCTTTGTACGCTCAGTGCAGCCGTTATACTAGCTGACAGCTTCTGTAAGTCTTGTTTGAAAGACGCGATTATTCGTACGACAAAGGCACCGCCAACACTTTCTGCACGTGTACGTCGTATGTCTCTCGGATATAAAATCCCCGCGACGTAAACATTCCCAAGCTAGTATTCCCAACATCTGTTCTTTACCCTCACGCTGACTCCGATCTCCACGTTCGGCTTGATCACGCGCCAGAACCGACAGTTTACGCTCGCCCGCGTACACGAACTTCAGATCTCTTCGCCCCTAACGACTCCGGATAAATCGCCTTGAGTGCAATCGACTTAACCCCGCGTCTCAGCAAAGGCGCAGCCTTTGGATACATCGGCGAATGAGGATGAATCGGGAGAATCAAGTGGGATTGACACGTTGAAAGGGGCGTCAGTTCGGAAGACGCCGAGCGAAATAATCCTCGGCTTTCCGCGTTCCCTCGATCGCGAATCGCTATTTTTCGGCGATATATTCGGATATTCCCCGGGCTATCGAGATCTTCGCTTCGAAATGTACGCGAGTGAGAATGATTATTGTCGTTTTTCACCGCGTCGCGGTAAACTCTTTCGTCCCAGTGGCATCGCGGAATGTATCGAACAACGTGGAGACGAATCCGGGGAGAATCCGAGGGATGTCTCGCGCTTGACGCGCTGAAAGGACGTCAACTGTCAAACGTCGACTAGCGATGTCGAGTGTAATAATCCCCGACTTTCGGATTCGAAGGGCGTACGTCAATCCGACGAGCAGATCTGTATTTTCATAAGGCTAACCCACGAAAGCAAACACCACGTGCCCAACTATACGAATGTGAAGGGTTCGTGCCCTAAAACTCTTCGCACATTGACATCAACTGGAGCTATAGAATTGGACGATGAGCGAAGGAGTTCTTCATTTGAGAAAGAATTTATATTATTAGTTGACACACTTTTTTTCCATTTGCGTAGAAAGAATTCACAAAAAAATTACAGGCAGACCAATGTCTATATAATAATATTACTAATACATTTTCTATATCTTTTATTTTAAAATAGAAAAATTAAATTACATTACATTAATACATTTTACATTGTAAATAATATTTGTGTAAATTTTCCGTGATTTTATTGTTGATTTCTAAAAATAAAAAGCTATTACAGGAAATATTCCTACGAAACAACGTCACTATACAGCGTCTGCCTCTCTTCGTATCTATTAACGTCAGACACGTCAGAGAATAAAACTGGTTAGTTTTGATAAATCCAGGCCACGAAGGCACGAACCCCGTACAAAGGGGTTGCACTCTCGACCCTCGAGGTCTAAGTAACGCACGCAACTCGAGACGGTGATTTCCAACCCACGCCTAGGGGCCTCCAAGGATGGAACGGTCGCGGCATGGTAGAAAAAGATGCATGTTCGCTGGATAGGACGGAAAGAATGAGAGAGAAGTAGGACCTTGGAGAAGTAGGTGGGACGAAAGGGCCGATGTAAAAGTAGTACTTCCGTTCTGCCAGCCGTCGCGGCGCCAGAAGGACGGGCATGCGCGTTTTCGTCGACGCGAGTTACCTTCCACCTAGAACGAATGTTTGTTTTCTCTGAAAGAGGCGAAAATGGCTCCCCAAGTCTGATAATACCCGAGGAAACCGCGCCTCGGTTTTCATGGTCCTAAAGGGTGCAGCGCATTATCTAGGGAGCAAGCACGAACTTCTTTCGGGGTCGACGCTCT